GTTGTAAGGACGTGACTTTGCTTACTAGACCCTGTGTTCAGGCTCTCCCCAGTGAGTAGTTAGTCTCTTTGGCTCTAGTATTGATTAGCATTTTTCAAAGTGAAAAACAAACTTCTCTGATCCTTGATAATTTCACCACCACCTAGAGGAGTCTGAATAGCAGCACTAAAAACTTATGCAATTCTTACATTGACTACCTTTGTAGTTGGAAAATCCATGAGAAGCAACAGAGGTACTAAAATTGTCTGCACATTGAGATAGACTGTCCTCTGTATCAGTTTATGTGCAGATATCATTTAAAATGTTATTTTCACAACTACGTAACAAACATCTTTTATTTTATAAGTGAAAAATCAGGTTTTCCTGACGCTGGTGGAAGTCACCAATATAAACTTCCTACTCATGACAGTGAGTGGAAACGTTAAGTCCTAGATACTATACTCAGGAGATTCAGGCAGTGTACTTAAGTAAGATATCATGTTGCACCCCACTTCCCCCTTCAGTATGGTAAACTTATCAAGGAAATCTGTTCTGAAAATGTTGGCAAACAAGAAGACTTTTCCTTAATTAGAAGACCTAGAAGAAAGCCAAGGCAAATATCAAAACCAAGACAAGCAGCAAAACATAAGTAATCACTTAATAAATTCTAGTCAAGCTATTTAATTTAAATAGAAGGCAGGGCAGAATGGCACCTTAGACAACATGGTTCAGAGAGGCAACAGTTTACTTCCTCAGATGCTACCATAGACTGTCACTGCCTCACTGAACCATGTCGTCTAAGGTGCCACTCTGCCCCGCCTTCTGCCTGACTTCAGGCTAACATAGCTAAGTACCTCTTTGACAAATAATATATGATTGCCTTTTCATTAGACACATATTCAGCCTACACCCCATGAAAATATAGCTAACAGTAGGCACATCTACACATGCATATTAATGCGTTTGAATAAAGCAATTCATTGAATATTAATGCAATCCAGGACCACAGCACATTAAGCTTGGGCAGAGCAGCCCGGGCCAGCAGACGGTCCAGGGGGGTCAGCCAGCTAGCTTGGGGCTGCTGCCCCTGGCTCAATGTGCAGTGGAGGGACAGGCTGGGGCAAGAAGGTGTTTCAGTGCAGGGCTAGCCGGCAGGCAGTCCTGCACTGAAGCACCATCACAGTCCAGCTAGCCAGGGCAGCATCTACATGTCCACTGCTGTGGAGTTTTTTACTCCACAGCATGATACTACTTGTATTTACAAGTAATATCCTGCTGCAGAGTAAATTAGTTTACTCCAGCCTAATAGGGGCACACGTGTAAACACGTGACATTTACTGCACAGCTAAGTAGTCTACTGTGCAGTAAGCATCTCATGGAGACACACCCAATGTTATCTTTCTTGAGCACACTTTGACTGATTTTGAATACCTTCAAACGAGTCTGATTTGTGTAAATAGCATATTTTACCACATATCAACCCCTGCCCCTCAAATAAGACACGTCTTATTTTGGGAAGGCAAAATAAGAAAAAAAGATTTTTCCAGAGCCATGACTGAATGCTGACTACAAGGAGGACAGAGTCTGTTCTTCAGTCTTACCCTGTCACAGCTGCTGCTGAACAGGTCAGCCAAAATCTACTAGCACTTCACCAGCAGTTCATAGATTCATAGAAGTAGGGTCGGAAGGGACCTTGTAGATCATCAAGTCTGACCACCTGCCCTGGGCGGGAGAGAAAACTGGGCTCAAATGTCCCCAGCCAGGTAGACGTCAAGCCTCCTCTTAAAGACCCCCAGGGTAGGAGCCATCACCACTTCCCTTGGAAGTTGGTTCCAGATCCTAGCTGTCTTGACTGTGAAGTAGTGCCTTCAGATGTCTAGTTTAAATCTACTCTCTAACAACTTGTGGCCATTATTCCTTGTTATCCTAGGGGGCGCTAGGGGGAACAGGGTCTCTCCCAAACCCTGCTGGTCCCCCCTAGTGAGTTTATAGACAGCCACCAGGTCCTGCCTCAGCCTTCTCTTGTGAAGGCTGAACAAGTTAAGGTCCCATAGACTCTCTTCATAGGGTCTTCTCTGCTGTCCCCAGATTATGCGAGCGGCCCTCCTTTGGACCCTCTCAATGCTGTCCGCATCCCTCCTGAACTGCGGTGCCCAGAAATGAACACAGTACTCCATCTGCAGCCTGACCAGTGCTGCATAGAGGGGGAGGATCACCTCCTTGGCCCTGCTTGAGATGCATCTGTGGATACACGACAAGGTACGGTTAGCCCTACTGACCGTGACCTCGCATTGTCGGCCCATGTTCATCTTGGTGACAGAGCTAAACTTCTAACTTTTGGCTGAACAGGAAGGGGAAGGTGAGTGATGCTAAAGAACAGATTCCTCCCCTGTTGCATGGGGCCAGGAAGGAGGCAGAGCCCCCAACAGCTATTCCAGTGTCCCCATGCCTTCATTCTGGTGTAGAAATCAGCTTCCTCACTAAGGGCTTTGTTACACTTTACATTATAAGCTTCTCAAATGTTGACTGGTGTTACTGTTAGCTCGAGTTTACAGTAGCTATATGTTCATGTATAGTAGTTTCAAGTTCTCTGACTCTTCCCAAACTGCACAGCTGTGACCTGCCACTAGGGGGTTGGTGGGCAGGGGCTTAACTAGGAGCTACAGCTGTGAGCTGCCCCTAGAGAGCTGGTGAGCCAGGGTTGGAAAGATGGGTTGAAGGGGGGTAGGTGGGGTAGTGAGGGGAGAACATGAGGCTGGAAGGGGGAGAGTTTTAATGATGGGCACTATGTAGTAAAATGGGAGGTGGAAAGGCAATGGGTAGGAATGGCAGCTCGGGGGTGGCGAAATGAAGGAAGTCAGTCACTGAAGTCACTAAGGGATAGAATAAAAAGTAGAAAAAAAATGTAAAAAGAAATAAAGAGTAATACATTAAAGAAAGCCTCATGTTTTAATAAATTAAGATTGAGATTGGGACTGGGATTGAGACTGGGAAGTCCCATCTCATAGGGACCACAATCTAGCACACTACCTTGCTCCACACTCCTCTACCCCTAGCCCTCCATCCAGGACTGGTCTTTACCCAGGTGAGCTGCCCATCCAGGTCACACCTCCAGGCTCAGGAGGCGCACTTGGCTAGGTACCCATACCACCCCATGGACAGTAGAGTTCAGGGGGCAGAAAGTCTGCCCACACAGAACAAGAAGGTGGGGGGAGGGGACACTACACATCCTGGGATGCTGAAGGACTGAAACTTGGGTAGCTTATCTCTGGGGAGTGGCCACATGAGCTGGGTAATATGGATCAGAGATAAACTTGTCCAGGAGTAGCATAACTTCAAAATGCCTAAAAGGTGCTTACTACTAGTTTATACATCTTAATGTGTGGACAATCCAGGAATCACGAGCTCCCTCAGCTGCCTAAAATAACTGTGCAACAAAGCTCTTAGACATACACCCGATTTTGGATGTCTAACTTCTGGGGGAAAAGGTATGGGTCATATGTCAGTAACACTAAGTATTTAGTAGTATCTAGATTCTAATACACATTAAAAATTGTCTACAGTCTGTCATTGTATCAAACACATCATACACTCTAATTCTATTTAATAAATCATTTTTCTGTGGTATTAGGTATAAAACCTAAATATATAACATAATATATTTACCAGTGTTTTAACCATAAGTGCTATGTTATTTTGGTGATACTAATCAATAACAACACAGGTATGTGAACTACATTTATGAGTACTAAAACTGTGAAGCCTAGTGCAAGTCATAATGATTAGGTGCATTTAGGTATTTGCTTTTTGTTTTTTGTCTTTTCTGGGAAAAATAAACAAATTAAAAATGCAGAACTCTTAACACTTCTTTCAAAACCTACTAAAAAGTTACTGTCTTGATTAACATATCTCATTCTTTAGCATAAGCTAAACATTTATTTTAATCTTACCTAATATTTTTCTTTCATAATGTACAATACTTCAGCAGAAAATTGTGTGCCACAGAACAAACTAAACCATCACTGGCATCCCAGCCCGTTTTCCACAGTTACAGCCAAGTGCTTATTTCACTTCACTCAACATTTTGATGATGACCTCACTTTGAACGTTTAACACAAACATTTAAATAAAAAGCACTCACAACATACAAAGCATCACTGCAAAAATTACAGATGCACTTGGCAAGACATTTGTAAGAAGACTGTAATGAACAGGAACATTAAAAATAACACATTAAAGTTAATGTATAAGTAATCCAAAAATACTAAAAACATTATACATGGTTTTCAAATGATTCTTACAGAAAGTTTTAAGTGTGTTTTATGGAGCAAAGTATGAATTTTAATTTTAATAGTCACAGTGTTCCAAAATCTGCACAAGTTGCACTCTGCTTTCTTGTGCTACTACTTTTCCCTTACCGTATGGAGGAAACACACAAATGGTAAACATCTTAAATTTTAAACTATGGATAAATGAAGCAAAATATATCACTAATTAAAGCAATTGCCATAATAAGATTTGGTGGACTAAAAATACTACACTAGCAAAATTTGGTAGATGCTTAAGAAAGCATGCTGTTATCAAGTTATCATGAAAGCTCATGCTAAGAGGAGCTTTACAACAGACATTTGAGTGAGAATACACAAATCTGATGAAATATAAAAGAAAACGCTTCAAATCTTAACAACTTACAGAATTATTTTTGTATTCTTCCTTTTTAGTTTGAACGCTTTATAACTCTACCTGCCACACTAAATGAGACAGCAGTGCCACCACAACCATATGACATACACTAGAAAACAACTTTCTCTTTTATAGTAAAGTATCTGAAAAAGATTTTTAAAAATAAAAGGAGGAAACCATTCTAATCATGAACATAATGAATTTCTGGGAATTCCATTTAACATAGCTTAAAAAACAAAAAAAAAGAAATTAGTGATAGTTAACACACACACACACACACACACACACACACACACACACACACACACACACACACACACACACACACACTTACTTACCTCAATAGCTCTCTTAATATACGGTATCTGTGTACCACTGTCCAGATCTTCATTAATAATAAGTCTTCTAGCCCACTGACCTGCCCTGACAACACCACTACCATGAATTAGAACTATCAGTTTATCTGGATTCGTCATTGCATCTTCACTCATAAAGATAAAACTCTTTGGCTCACTCTCAGAAGCATCTATCTGAAATAAAAAAAGAAA